GCTCGCGGTATACTGAGACGCCGCAGCTGAAGCGGATCCCGACAATTATGTCTGGATCCGCCCAGCTGCGTGACTGACAGCTGGCTCTGCCTATCTAGAGGCAGAGCCAGCTGTACCCGCCCCCTCCCCCGTCCGTTCCGCCAGTCAGCGCTGGCGGATCGGAGCGGGGAGGGGGGAATCCAGCCCCTCCCCTGTCACGGAGGAGAGCCATGACAGGATCGAGAGGTGAGCGAATGCCGGTATGTGTTCGCTCACCTCCCGAACTACTAAGCTCTCATTGTCACAGGTCGGCTAGAACTATGAGGTGAGTGAAAAGCACTCACCTCATAGTTCTCCTTTAATAAAGGATGGAATGTAACAGTTAGTTACAAGGCAAGCAGAGCCAGCACAAAACAGCATCTGCATTACTATGCCCAGCACAGCACATCCTCTGAATATGGCCCTGGTTGTAGCAAGCATCCCCGGCATCCTTTCCCCCTCTGATTCTATTTCTCAGTCTCAAACTCCTACAGGGAGGAGCAAATGGCAAGCACCTTTAAAGGAATTCCAGGGATGCCCTCCTTTACATAAAATACAGGCTGTCTCCCCCAGGGCCGGCCTTTGGGGTGTGCGAGCTGTGCGGCCGCACAGGGCGCCATGGCAACAAGGGCCCAGCGGTAGACACAGCTTGTCCTCGGGGCGGCTTCTCTCCTCCTCACCGCTGGTCATCCTACATGACAGCGCTCCCTCCTCAGCGCTGTCCTTGGTTCCGAGGAGAAACAGTCTGCTGAAGCCTGCGGGGAAGGGGGGGCGTGAGAGGGAGCGCTTTCACGTCGTATGGCCAGCGGTGAGGAGGAGATAAGCCGCAGCTTTCGTCTGATCACTCCAATGTTTGTAAATAACTGGGGACACATAGTACTATGTGTCCCCAGTTATGAATGAATTTCTCAATGGGGAGGAGAACTCACTACAGAGGCTCCTCCCCATTCAGTAACTGGTGATAGTAAATGTTTTACTATCATCAGTTTTTGAATGAATGGGAAGCCTTTGTACCGAGTGCTTCTCATTCATTGAGTGCTGAGGCTGCAGAAAAAGAAATGGAGGACTTTGTGTCCTCAATTTCTTTTTTATTTTAAAAGGTAAATATCAGGGGTCTGTTTAGACCCCCAATATTTCCCCGAAGCCCCCAAACAGTAAAAAAAATTAAAACAATTTAAAAAAAATTAAAACATTATTTAAAAAAAGTTAAAATCCCCCCGCCCACCACCACACACACACGTATTATTAGACATGTGCAACAACTAAAAATTCATTTCATCAGATGAAATGAACGAAAACTAAAAACATTTTCATTCATTTCATCAAACAAAACACGTTTTTATGCTATTTTGGATTTAGCCATTGGCGCATTCTGGAGGCAGGGCGCATGACGTCATATAACACCGCACGTGTTGGGCACCTCCATCTTGGTTTATATCTAGGTATACACCAAGATGGCAACGCCTATATCGTCGTGTGACGTCACCTGACGCCACGCACGCATGGCGTCATGTGACATCATGCTTTCCGCATCCAAGATGGTGGCACACATTCGCAGAACGCGCCGGTGGCCAAAATGGCCGCCGTGCATTCTCAAACAAATTATTATGTGCCTCAATACATTTTTCCTATATTCGGGGCAAATAGTAATTCATTCATTTAACACGTAGTCTATAACTGGCTTTTATATAAGTTACTTATGCCACTGTGTTCACATTTATGGCCTACACTTTATGGATGTAACAAGTTGTAACCTTGTATTGTATTAGTGAAAAATGTTCAATAAAAAAATTATATGCTTAAAAAAAATAAACACGTAGTCTAGGTTTTGTGTTCCGTTTTTTATTTTTACTTTTCTAGTTACACTTACTTGAAAAAAGGGTCTGCATGACATCCTGACACTTTATTTTTATAGACTATTTTAGTTGGACATTTATTGTTTGCCTACAATTGTTTTATTTATTAAGAATACCATTGTGCCTACAAGTTTAATACCTTTGAATAAAAGTTTTTTATTTTTATCATACTGTTTAATGTTTCTTTGGGGCTTAATAAAACGGGAGTCTTTAAATGGTGCAGATATTCGAGGAAAATGGGTGTGGCCACTTAGGGGTGTGGTCACAGAGAGGCGCTGTTGAGCTTTTTTCGCACAGGGCACCAAAAGGCCTAAGGCCAGGCGTGGTCTCCCCTTTCCTTTCCCCTGTTTTAAATGTTGAGCTGCTCAGAATGGCGACCAAGGGAATGAAGAGTGATATAACATTTATTTTTTATGATGAAAGTGCATTTATTCTTTCAAGTGGGATTGCAAAACATTAATTTCAGTTTTGGCTAGAATAGAAAAGGTTGAAACTCAGATCTTTGTAAGACATGGAAAGGGAGATCCACAAAGCAACTCCCAGTGAACACCAAGAAAAGTTAAGCCCTGGACAAACTATCCAAAACAGAAACATTAGGAGTGTAGTCTACTCTTTTTTTCCCCTCAGAATGATCTTGTCATCTAAAGCAAAGGCAATAAACTATAAAAATATTCATTGTATTTCCATATAAAACAGATCACATACCTTCCCATGTCCATCTCATTCCTCAAAGGTCAGCAAAAATAAAAATTGGCTTGAATTAAAACTTATTATATAAACACTTTTCTGTTTTCCAAGTTACACCATAGGTTCATTGGAGGACCTTGTATTCTGCCTGCAGAATTCATTTTTCCAGTTTCTAGTAAAATGGGCTAGTGGTTATATTTAAGCTAAATATAGAGGATTTTCCTTTCATATTTGGAATCCCCAGTGTCTCATCTAAGAACTATAAATTGCCAGTAATTTTTTTTTTTTTTTTTAAGTAAGCACATGAACTTCAGAATTCAACTTTGGGCACCACATGCACAAAAATACTTCAGAAAATCACCTGTAATTGTTGAGCAAAGAATATGCTAAAAAAGACCAATAAGAACTTGTGTAATTTGGTAAAATAATTGGAGGCAAAACAACATGCAAAATATATGATGAAATATGTGCCATTATAGTCAATAGGGCTAATCTTATCTCTGTGTTTTCTTCATGCAAGTACATGGTCTAGAAAGGCAAAAGTCTAATGTTTGCATGGAGTCTCACAGGAAATAAACTGCTACAAAATACCTTTCTTTCAATTGTTAAAGGAACACCCCATACAAAATCAATCTTAGGGCCTTAACTATATGCCCCCACATACAAATGTGGACACATTTGTTGGTACCTTTGCATGAAAAAAGAAGAACCCAGAATTTACTTGAAACTGAACAAAGTAACTGGCGTCCATCAATGTTTAATTTATACTAGATTGTAAACTCCCATGAGCAGGGCCCTCCTACCTCCTGTACTGAAATTGTATTGCCCCCCTTAGTTTTGTAAAGCGTTGCGCAAACTGTTGGTGTTATATAAATCCTGTATAATAATATTTAATAAAATATCCGACTTTTGATTTTGGAGTCAACAGAATATTTCAAATAATAAAACAAATGAAAATAGCATGGATAAAAATGATGGGACCCTTAACCTAATATTTCATTGCACAACCTTTAGAGGAAAAGCAATTTCTGTAGCTCTCAATAAGACTTCTGCAACCGGCCAATAGGTAGTTTGGCCCACTCGTCTTGTGCCAACTCACAGAAGGCCACTTATTTTATTTTTAGCATTCTTGGGTGCTGTTAGCTTTCTTTTTTTATGTCCTTATCCTGTTGGAGGATCCACAAACAGACTGAGACAGAGCTTTCTGACATTGGCAGTACACTTCATTCCAGAATTCATTGATAGTCTTGTGATTTTAATGTACCCTGCAAAGATTCAAGGCACCCTGTGCCAGACGCAGTGAAGCAGCCCCAAAGCATAACCAAGCCTTGTCCGTGTTTCACAGTAGGTATGATATTCTTTTCCTTTAAAGCTTAATTTTTTGTCTATAAACAGAGTTGATGTAACTTACCAAAAAGCTCCAGTTTGTTCTCATTTGTCCAAAGGACAATCTCCCAGAAGTATTTTGGCTTGTCAATATGCATTTTAGCAAATTCTAGTAACATTATTTCATGTTTTTCTTTCAACAGCGGAATCCTCCTGGGTCTTCTTCTTTTGTGCCCACTTTAGCTCATAAAGCGACAAATGGTGCAATTGAGCACTGATGTACCTTGAAGTTTAGCTTTGATCTCTTTGGAAGTTATATTGGCTTTTTGTCTACCACTAAACTTTCTGTTCATTTGGGGTAAGTTGTCCTCCTGTGGCGTTTAGGAAGGCTGGTAACACTCCAATGGACCTTAAACTTCTTAATATTTGCAACTGTAGTCACAGGAGCATCAAGCTGCTTGATGATGGTCTTATAAGCCTTTACCTTTAACATCCTGCTCTATAAATTTTCTTTTTGATCTCCTTAGACAACTCTCTTCTTTGCTTTCTCTGGTCTATGCTCAGTGTGGTGCACAGGATGATACCAAACAGCAGAAATGTGTGATACTGGTTACAGAAAACAGCTGGTTTGACATAGCACTATAATTGCTTTACAAACTTTTCTAGGGTACTAACATCTGTCCAGTACAAATCTTTGTCGAATATGTAGTAATTTATGTCTGTTTTTGTTGCTTTACTCCATGGTATACCAAAGACATGCAGGCATACACAAGACAATTGCTTTTGATTCCATCACTTTTTAGGAGTGAATCACTGCTTCAATAAACTGTAAGGTACCACCAATGTGTTCAAATTCAAACTTACGTTTACAGCTA